CTAAGTTTTAAGGTTTACGAAAAAATGCCTTACATCTTATATCGTTTCGGTTCACTTCTGACAAATGGACAACAAATAAAAAATATACTTTTATTAAGAATAAAAAAACAGTTAACTTCAGTTGCACCAAAGCTAAAATATCCTTCACCGATATTGATCGGTCAATTTGTATGACAGCTATATGCTAGAGTGGTCCGATCTTAAAAATTTATTCAGCGAGTGTGCACACCGAAGACGAAATTATTACTGTGGTGCAGAATATCGAAGAAGACTTGAATGAGTCCATTCGCCATCGCGCACAACAATTGGAGTTGTGCCCATTCACTTTATTGAAGATTTTACGGAACGTTCATAGTTTGCGGGCTTACAAAATCCAACTTGTGCAAGAATTGAAATCGAACGGCTAATGACTTTTTCATGCCTGAGTTGGAAGATGTTAATGTGGACGACCTTTGGTTCTAACATCATGCCATACAGCCAACGACACAATTAATTTGTTAAAGGAAACTTTTGGTGAGCGCATTATCTCTCGTCTTGGGCCTGTCGCGTGGCCTCCAATATTGCGCGATTAACCACCGCTGGACTATTTTTTTGGGGCTATGTGAAGTTGCTTGCCGTCGGAAATTGGCCCCCTCGTCTGGAATTTATTCGATCTAGCCGAGGCAGTCACTTGCTCAAAATCATTTTTAAAACACAATGGCAAACCCTTATTTTATATAGCAAAATACTTGGCCAAAACATTAAATTATATTCGATTTATTTATACATTGACATATATATATTTTCTAAACCTGATGGTAAAACTAACAACGATAAAAAAAAATAATTATTTATTTGCATATTCGTTGTTTTACGTGTATTTTTGGCAACTTTTTCCAAGAGAATGGAGCTATTGTTAACAGAGTTAATGTTGGATCCAAGATAAATCAAAAATTCGTTCATTCATATAAACCTGATGCATATTGATATGGACCTTAATTCATTCAATCAATTTGGAATAGACAGAATGAATGAAAGTCATCTTTCATCTGAAATCAAGTCTCTCACTAGTTTGAATATCAATTTCAAGTAGCAATAATGATCGCAAATAAATGCTAGTCCTACATTATTATTGAAATTCAGAGATAATTTTTTTGTGATAATAGTGAGGTTTGAATCAAAACTGGGTAAAATTGCGATAATACTTACATTAGCTCCCATACACCTAATACAAAGATTTTCGAATTTCGAGAGCGTCTATCTCTAATAACATTGTGTCCTTGTGCCTAAAATGGATAAAATCGGGCTAATACTACGCCTAGCCCTAGTCCTTGTACTTGCAAATATAAATTCGAAGATGATAAAGTTGAAAAAAATTAAAAGGTCAACGATATCTGGGTATAATTTATCTTTACCATAAAACTAAGATTATTCGGTGGAAGCCGTTATTTGATTATCGTTATTAATTAATTATTAGACACTTCAATTGCTCAAGCCTTAGCCTAGTGGCGTATCGAACAAACAGCTAGTATAAATCAAATGAAGTTGGAAATTAAATAGAAAGCAGATGTTTATTATACTCTATATATTATATATTATATTCACTCTCTTGTATCAAATTTTGGCTGGATTCCTTTGTTATTGCTGTGAACACACATTTTTGATCAGGAGTTGGGTTCAAAGTTATTAGGTATTGAACATATTATATATAAAATAGTAGACGTTGCAAACAATGACTAAATCTGATTCTGATTTATGAAAATTTACGCATTTTTAATAATATTCCTATTAAATTTAATTCTGCATTATGTCATTACTATTTTTTTAGAGTGTTATTAAAAACAAATAGTTTAGCTAAGGTCAATAAAAATAATTTAAAATGATATGTCATATGTAATAATTAGGTCTGAGTCACTATTTGTATGATTACAATTTTATTCAAAAACATTTCCTGTAATGATTGTCACTATAATTTGACGAAAACACTGCGAATACACTATAACACGCATGGGCTTACAACCTTAGCCCTCAGACAATATCTCAGTTAAAATCACAATCTTTTCGAATGCTGTATACATGTATGTATAGTCACTATTGAAAATAAAATTTAAAAAAAATTTGTTTAGTATAAATCAAGAAACACTTTCTGATAACAACAAATAATGATGCGCTACAACTATTTCTTCTAATTGCCCTGTTACTGACAAATTACAACAGTAGTGTGAAAATATTTTTTTTTTTTTCCCAGAATAGCAGACGATTTTAAAGAGCAGAAAATTAGTCACTTACTAATAAATTGACTTTAATTGCAAATTGCTATACACTTTCATACTCTGGCAACATGTTGCTTCAGAATATAATAGTATTTTTTTATCTAACTAATCAAGATAGAGCATCACCTTTTGGTCGCTACAGCTCCATGTGAGCTCTGGCATGCTACACATGTGACCTCCAAACATCTCATTCATTTACGGTTTCCTTCCTAGCTTTTTCATATCTTCCTCGAGTTCGTCAATCCATCTTTATAGCGATCTTCCCAGTGCTTCATTAGTGAATGCTGTGGCCTCTTTAATTTTCTTCTACGCTCTCTTGTTGTCCATTCTCGTTACATGACCGAACCATTTTAGTCGTTGCGCTTTGATAAATCGTATAACATTTTCTCCTTTAATAAGTTGGTCTAGCTCATGGTTCCACTTTATACGCCACTCGTCATTATCATTTAATGCTCCAAAGATTATACTTTAGATTTTTCTATCGAAGATTTGTAGTTTGATTTTGTCCTTTTCGAGTAGCGTCCATTATTTTGTTCCGTAGCACAGTAATAATCGAATGGCATTGTACAGGCCCAGTTTATATCGCTTATTGAGTAGTTTTGATTTGAACTATTTGATTAGGGACTCGTCTGACTTATTGGCGGCTTTTATTATTTCTGCGATACTGAAGCTTGTTAAGTAATCGCTACTGAGTTCAAAGCCCAACATCAAGATGGATATAGAACTCTACTCCTTGGCAGCTTATTATACATTAGGTGTAACCGGTACTGTTAGAATCATTCGAATTGCAAGAATTTTTCAAGGCACAAATTTCTCGACATCTTCTAAGTTTTAATATTTGATTTTTCGATTTGAGCGCGTAACATTGTTATTAAGATTACTGAAATTGATCACTTTATATGGAATATTCTCGAAGGCTTTAACGAATACTATTTCTAATGCAATGACGTATAATTCATTCATAAAATAAATAATGAGATTAAGAATAAGTACACACGTATATAGCTATATAGCATCAAGTTCAGAAGTTAGCCTACACGTTTATAGGTATAAACAGGTTCGTGTACATATTTTTTTGAAGGAGGGTTGCAGTTATCAGCGGACCGTTAAGGTTATTTTTTGCGAGCGTGGTCCAATAGCTATAATATTTTATTATATTTTAATACTTATATATTCCCCATTCAACTCGATACACTCAACCAGAGATGATCCAACTTCTTTAACCCATCTGAAAAGGCGTTATGGAGGTCTTTATTCTACCTAAAATTAGTTCTCTCTATTTTAATTTTGAATTTTAGAAACAAAACGAAGTCACACGGACCATATTTGAATAATACCTTGAATGGGACAAAACTTCGTAGTCTAGTCCGACTAATTTCATCGTGGCGACAGCGGAGGTACGGGTAGATGCATTGTTTTGGTTAAAGAGTATTTTTTAAATTCGGCATAGTAAGCCCTGTGGTTTGAAAGTCGTTCAAGTAATTTGTAACGGTCGTAAAGTAACATTATACAGCGCAATTTCCCTTCCAAAATCAAGAATCGAATTGATTTTATATTTTTATACACCTTGATACAAAGTGGTCATCTAACGGTTGTTTATAACTCCTAAAACTAATCAAGATAGATTTAGAGTTATATACTTATAAATGATCAGGATGACGAGACGAGTTGAATTCCGAGTGACTGCCTGTCTGTCCGTCCGTCCATCCGTGCAAGTGATAACTTGAACATAAATTAAGATATCTTAATGAAACTTGGTAAGCTGGTACCTTATGTGCGTAATCGCATCATTGCCACGCCAATAAAATGCGTTACTCAAAACCTTAAGAAATGCTATAACTAAGCTCTAAATTAAGATAATGGAAAGGGGCAATATGGGCATGAAAATTTTTAAAATGGAATTGGAAGTAGCCCCGCCCTGTAACAGATTTAATGATGTTACAAACCGCTATATAATGTAAATGAAGATCCAATAAAGTTATGAGAATAAAACCATGAAACAAATAATGAATCTAAGATATGCCATCTCACGTCTAAAAAATAGCCCCCATACTCTTAATATAAAGATTTTCGAACCGTTTGACTTTATTAATATATACCGTTTAAAGAGCGTCTCTCTCTAATAACATTGTGTCCTTGTGCCAAAAAAGGATCAAATCGGACCAATACTGTCCAAAGCCTTCCTATGTACCAAATATACGAATATCAGTTCGATTCCGATTGCATTTTTAGCTTATAGTATATCGGCCTATATATGTAAGCTGTCTTCGAAAAATTAAGTGAACGCATAATATTGAATATCCTACAGGGTAATTCTAAAAATTTGTGAAATCGGTCCACTAATTTTCCAAAATTACATAAACTACAATATATGTAAAGATTTTTGTTATTCTAGCAGACTTTATGCCAATTCATAAAATTGCATGGAAACATGTTGCCGAATATAATAATAATATAATATAAGTAATGGCCAAAGTAAACGCAATCGTTGCATATCTTCTCCTGGCACCAATGTACCCGAAATAACGATTTCCATCCATTTTGACGCGATCGAAACACAAAACAAGTTCGATTCGGCAGAAATTTTGACAATCATCGCCTACGAGAATATATAATTATAGCAAATTTCCCTTTGCGATAGTGCAGTGAGGCTAAGCACTTATAGAACCACCCTTGTACATATAATATTGAGAGTTAAATCACTTCATAAAAACATGAAAATAATATCAATTGTAATTTACAAGTGAACTGTGATGATTTGCATTTGTTTTTGCAAAATATTGACATAAATTAATACTTAATACTTTCATATATACAGAAATACATACTTACATATGGACTGCTCATGAGCATTGCTAATCATGTTAATGAGCAAGAATCTGTAATTTCAAGTATTCAGTTAGTCAAAGTACAAACGTATGACGTGAGCGTTTAAAAAAACTTGAAGCTGCTTAAGTGTACTTGATTCCTCGTAGCACTGGCCAAGTAAACGAAAACCTGATAATTTCGAATAAACAAACAGCAAATACAACAACACTATGACTTATGAGATAAGTAACTAGCGCGAAGTGCTCAGCTTTCAGCACGACGCTGCTTAACTACTGGCGCGTAGTTTGACTTCGAAAATCGCAATCAGTTTCGATTGTCAAACGCTCAAGAGAAGTTTACTAAATTTCCAACAAAGTCTTAATATTTCAAAAAAAAATTTCCTAAATAAAAAAATTGCGCGAATAAAAATTATGCGTTTCCTCAACGTTTTAGCTTTAATCGTCGCAGTGCTAATACCGCCCAGCGCCTTAGCTGCCGATAAGAACTTGGTGTGTTTCTACGATTCAGCGAGTTATCTGCGTCAAGGTAATGCATTTTCCCTTTTTTTATTATCAATACATTTTTGATTACACAATGAAATGCACGCGCTTTGCCAACAGGTTTCGCCAAATTGCTGCCTACAGATCTTGAACTCGGCCTAAACTTCTGTTCACACCTTATCTACGGCTATGCTGGCCTTAAGCCGCAAACACACGAGGTCTACAGTCTCAATGTCGATCTTGATATGTTTCATTATCATGAGATTTTGTTGTTGAAGGCGAAATACCCGAAGATGAAGGTGTTTCTAAGCGTTGGCGGCGATCGTGATGTGGATGAAGCGAATCCGCTCAAGTATCTAGGTCTCTTGGAGAGTGGCAAAGAAGGGCAACAGAATTTCATTGATAGCTCTATTGCGTTGCTGAAACGTAATGGTTTTGATGGCTTAGATTTGGCCATACAATTGCCACGCAACAAACCGCGCAAGGTGCATGGTGCTGTGGGTTCTTACTGGAAGAAATTTAAGAAACTCTTCACTGGCGACTTCGTGGTGGATCCTCTGGCTAGTGAGCATAAGGAACAGTTTACGGAATTTTCAAAAAATTTACGTGATGCCTTGCTGCGTTCGAATCTTTCGCTGGCCTTGACCGTTTTGCCAAATGTCAATTCGACCTGTGAGTATTATCGCAAGAAAGCGTGGGTTTAAGAGTTTTCATCTGTTTTCATATTTGTTCGAAAGCGGTAGTTAGACCAGTTTTGATAGTTACAAAGTGTCTTATTCGTAACAACTTATTGGTCATAGTGCGGTAACCCAATAAGAATAATGAGCTTCAATTGAATTTTCTACAGAAACGTTTAAGTTTGGTTTGTTGTATTTGTTGGTTTCGACTTAGAAGACTATGACCCGACTATGGCTTCAATATTTAGCTAACTCAACTTGACTTGCGACCGTACCAGACGTTCAGATCCATTCAAATCGACGAACACTGGTGTTTCTATTTATTAAGAAGTTTACATTTTCAAGTTTGAAAGCCAAGTTGAGGGTTTATTAGCGTCTTTAAAGCAGCTTCGCACTGGTCTCATTTCATTTAATACGATAACTTTGGCTTCAATGCCTTTAGTAAATATATATTTTTCGCCACCCAATACTAACGTCTACTATCTACAGGGTATTTCGATGTGCCAAAAATTAAAAACAATTTCGAGTTCATCAATCTACTAGCCTTCGATTTCCTCACACCGACTCGCAATCCTGACGAAGCCGATTATACCGCACCAATCTACCCGCTTACGGAACAAAATCGTCTACCACACTACAATATCGAATATCAAGTAGACTACTGGTTGAATAATCAATGTCCCGGAGCTAAGATCAATCTCGGCATTGCCACATATGGACGTGCATGGAAATTGACACCCGATTCGGGCTTGTCAGGCGTTCCTGTTGTGGTAGAAACCGATGGACCCGCACCAGCTGGCCTACAATCACTAATACCCGGCCTGCTGAGCTGGCCTGAGATTTGCGCCAAAATGCCGAATAACGTGAATGCCAACTATCGTGGTGAGAATGCGCCGTTACGCAAAGTAACCGATTTGGAACAGCGCTATGGCAATTATGCCTTGCGGCCGGCAGACGATAATGGTGAGCACGGCATGTGGGTGAGTTACGATGATCCGGACTTCGCAGCGATTAAGGCGAGCTATGTGCGCACGAAGGGACTGGGCGGTGTGGCGCTTTACGATTTGAGCTATGACGACTTTCGCGGCTTGTGCACGGGTCTAAAGTTTCCCATTCTGCGTGCGATTAAGCATTTCTTATAAGTTTATGTTATTAGGCTAAGTTGTATATATGTAATTCTTTATTAGTGGTTTTAGAAAATTTAATAAAATACAAAAAACAAATTGCTGCGTAGCTTTTAATTGATTAGCGCTATGAAAAAATCAGACGAAAACTCGCGCCGTAAAAAGGCCTTCTTACTTGACCCTGAAAACGTGTTGTTTGCTCCAACGATTACTCAACTCGTGCGTTGTTGTCATCTATATATGTTTACCATATATACATATATATATGTATATATGTATGTATGTATATATGTATGTTTGTTTGTATATATATGCGACTTGTTTATTACATTTATTTATTATATCGAATAATTTATATATTAAGTGCAGCGACAAATGCAAATCCTACTTTGCATACAAAGTTTCGAAAAAGAAAATAAAAAACACAAAAATGCTTTCATTAGTATCTTTGTCGCTTAAACCATATAAGCCGCAGGCATTCCAAACATGTTCGAGAACATCTATTTGCATTCAGAATTGCGCGTTCATTTGTAAATATTTACACCGTGCTGAGAATTTTGACAACGCTTACTCATCCGCAAACACCTCAACAAAAAATCCAAAAAACTATTAGTCTCCAACTACTTCCTGCAAAAAAAAGTACCGCCCGGTAATCACATTTGCTCTATTTACTACTTCGGCCTCACTAAAAGCTCAAGCGATCAGCTGTTCGCTCATATACGCTTCACATCTCCACCCAGTTGCGTAGACATCAGCACACATGCGTTGAGCTTAAGCAGAGCTTTGGCAGCGCGAAGCTTAATGCTCACTCTCCACAATCGCCTCACGCCCAGCTGATGCCATTTGCATTCATTTAATCCACTTGCTGCTCGGTGACATTTATAGATCTGCGATTTTAGTTACAATTTTACTTTTGTTTTGTGCAGTTCATTTCGTCGAGTCAATAAAAAGCGCCAATTATCGTATATTACACATAAAGGTATTTTTTCAACTTGCTAAACCAGTATTCATTGTAAGATGAAATTATTCGCCTTACTTTCACTGGCCTTAGGCCTGCTAGTGGCCCAAACGGGCGCTGCTAATCTTGTCTGTTACTATGACTCAGCCAGCTATATACGCGAAGGTGAGTACACAGTCGGAAGTTTATCTGACAAATATTTATTTTCGAGATAAATCTCATTTACGACATTTATTTGTTTGTTTGTTTGCTCGCTTCATTATGGGTGTGTGTATGTCTGTGCGTGTGGCCATTGAAAGTAAAAGCGCTAATTTATTATAATTTGAGGGTATTTTTTGTTCCACTGCAATTTTGTTGTTTATAACTTGCGCTTCGAAAACAAATAAATGTTTTGATTTATATGTAGAAATTCAAATAATAATATTTTGCCTTTCGATTCGTTAAAATTCTTTGTAAACGGTATAAATTGATTGTACCCTCGCGTCAGTTCTGTTTCCAATTTGGTTGGAAAAGTAGAAATTTAACAAATAAAAGTATGAAAAGTAAAAAGCCTTAAATCAAGATCATATATTAGTTAAGTTACGACAAATTAGTTCCAATTTAAATTCGGATAAATTTTATTTTTTCTTTTTAAATGTTTTAGTTATTCTGAATTATTAGTTATTCTAGTCTAAAGGCCTGAATTTAGGGAATTATTTGACGCTCAATAATACAAAAAAAATTATAAAATTTGTTCTATAAACAACACAATTTTTACAACAAAATTCTCTAAGAAAATAATAAAATTTTACAAAGCTACACGTTGTTGAAGTATAAGAGTATAGTATTTCCACTCTTCTGACCTCTCAAAATGGCAGCTACATACAAAATTTTTTTTTGTAAATTTTCAACATCTCAGAATTAAAAAAAAAAAAAATAGTGAAAATTATTCATTTTGATTTCTTGTCCTTTCTCGCCATATAAGTATCACAATCATTAGCTCAGCACCCGATCGGGTCTTCGCTTGTTGCTATTTAATTATCCAGTTACATATTTCTGTCCCTTGCTTGAGTTCGCCAGCATCGTAGTTCCAGCGCTTCAACGTTTTGATCCACACAAACAATCCATCTAAGATTTGGTCTGCACCTGCTTCTATTATTTCTGCAAATAAATAAAATGCATGACAAGTTCCAAGTAAATCAATTCTTTAGCACATGCGGTTTTTTAATAGACGCTTCGAAAAACGTTTCGCAAAAAATGCGACACTAATAAAACTGTATTAAAATAATTCGAACTTTAATACTTTGAAGGAGATATTTCTTAATTTAAATTATTAAAATATGAAAATAATCGTTTTTTACACATTTTTATAGTAGAACACCCCTTTTCACTTGTAAATTAGGACTTTCAAAGCGGCTTGGGCTTTTTATATTTCCTTTATTGTTATAATTTTTGATAATAAAACGTGATATTTTTATTGAAATTGGTCTTTAAAATTTATTTCTATAAATATTCGAACAACACTCAGCTGTGCACTATTTAGTCAAAACAAAATTTGTGTTTTTTTTTTTGTGTCATCCATCTTGTCGCGGTGAGAGAGAACTAGATAACACTCCACCGAGACCTAATACTCACAGGTGTTTCATCGTTTTTATAAGCAAGTATTTCTATTTTCCTTTTGGCGGAACCCCGGCCTAACATTCCGACCCTAGGTAGAGTTCGCGTAATGTAAAAATTTCAAAGAAAAATTTCTTACAATAATCGGGCTTACTGTCAACCAATATTTGTGTTGTTTATTCGATTCGTCAATCCCATGGTTTTGCTATAAGGTTTAGCGAATCGAAGGATATTCAGGTATTACCAGTTACTGTTTCTTATATGTATTATATGGTTTATTTAAGCATATCCGATTTTATTTATTCAACAAATTAAGTAGTTAAAAAAGCTATATGTATGTTGTTGTACACTTAAATATACTTAAACAAATGTATGTAATTTCCTTGCATAGTTGAAATCAATTATAAATTTCTAAGGAAGTAATTAATCCAAAGCAATTGACCACATTTCTATCGTTGATTACGACTTTTGCTACTCAAAACTACTCAGAATCAATCAAGTTAGAAAAATAATTTTTTTTTATTGTACTATTACAAACATTATAATATATAAAAACGTTTGCTTACTATAACACTTAATATAGGAGTACTATGCATATTTACATTGAATCTACTATATTATTGATAATGCCGACTTAGTAAGTAAACAAGTTGGGATCGAGAGCATCTTGTGAAATTATCACTTAACGCGACGGATGTTTAGTATCAGCTGCTTATAGAGAAAGAGAGAGAATTATACAGAGAGAGAGCGAGAGAGAGAGAAAGAGGTTGTAGCAGCAGGTTGGGTCAATAGCTTATCAGTGGGGGTCACGTTGTAAAGCAATAGACGCCAGTTAGGATAGCGCTTGTTTCATCAAACTGTCCCAATGAACTCGCTGCTAACACTTGGATGAACTCGTATACATATATGTATGCTTTTAAATATAAAAATAACATGTATAATATATACATATACATATGTACGAGTACTTAATACAAAGTTATTTATGCTAAAATTTATTCACACCGCGCTAAGTGCGCTCGCATTCAATTCAATAGAAAATAGTATAAACACAATAACAAATAAGGGAATCAGCATCAATTTAAATTCCACACTGTGCACGGTCAAACACAACAAAACTTATGTATGTTAGGGTCGAGTTTGAGTGCGGGCAGCACCGAAAATTAGAGGCTCTGGTGTGTTACACAAATTTGAATAGTAAACGACTCCTTGAAATTGGGGCATCTTTTCTTCTAAAAGTATACATTTATATACTAATTATATATTAATAAGGGTAGATTAAACAGAATATACATTAATCAGTACTATCGGCATCCACATTTATTATTTATACCCTGCAATAGGTTAAATGAAGTTAGCCATGAAGTTTTTAAAACCAGAAGGAAATGTCGGAGACCTCATAAAATATATATGTACATGTATAACTGATCAGCCTAATGAATTGAGTCGATTTAGCCACGTCCGTGTGTCCATCAATATACATATACGCAAACTACCTCATCTTTTGAGATATCGATTTGAAATTCTACAAATGTCGCTTTCTCCCAAGAAGTTGCTCATTTGTCGATTTATACCATACATACTGATCGATCAATCTCAAAGCCTTGTATGGAAAACTTTTATTTGATAAGTTACCTTCACAGAATTCAGCATAAATTATTTTCCAAGGCATCGTGACAATCTCCGAACAAAGTTTACAGCTCGGATTACTGTAACTTATAGCTGACATATGAGCTGGCCGATGAAAATCAAGTTATTCTATGAAAACATTTTTTTTTTATTGAATTTTTATTATTAATGCTTGTTATTTTTTTTTTGTTGCCAGTAGCATTTGAGGATGGTTTGGTTAGAGATTTATATAAAGTCGGTTTAAAATTCCCTTAGTTTGTTATACCTTTCTTCGTTAATCCTTTTTGTTGAAGGAAATTTCAATTTCATTTCTAATAACAAAAATACTTAATCCTGCTGATGTCGAAAAGGTTTTCGTATCGATAAATGTATTATTTGTAATACTGTAATAATGTTCTCTCAAGAATGATTTACTTTATCGATCGCTATTTATATCTTTGTAACATATGGTGTTATTTTTGAGTTCGTTTAGAAGTTATTAATGTTTTATTTCTGAACTGATATCTTGGCTCATCATGTTCTTTCATTTTCAAGAAAATATACCAATGAACGCCTTCTTATATCGCAGCTCGCTCTAAGTTAAGATTAATATTTGCTTAGTTAAAAAATCTCACTCGCCCAATTCGTTTTAGCAAAAAGTATTGAACGCTGATGAAATCATGATAAAAAAGTAAGGTGAAATTGTCACTTAAAACTCCCGGGCATCAGGATTGCAGCAAAAAAAATTAGTTTCTGGGTTAATAGGACTGCCTATAATATTTACCAAGCGTATGTTTGTCAAAAGGTTATCTTTGAGTTACAAACAAATTCACCTTACTTTTTGCTCTCAGTCGTATTATAGTAAATAGATATTTATATTTTAGGCAGATTTATTGAAATATAAAGTTCTGTAAAACCTTTGACACATAATCACAGA